ATGGGGGAACTGATCACTTTACAGGTATTCCAGGACATATTACAGCTTTAAGGAACTTCCGATATGGATTTATAAGCTTCTTGGTTCACTGGGATGCAGGACCTGACGGAAGGTGGAGCAGATGCATTGGTTCACTTACTGGCTTTAATAACCTGTCTTGAAAAAACCCAAGTTCTGAGAGACATAACATCTTGAATTCAGTATCCCGATCATGCTCAAATCATGTTAATCTGCTTTTAATAGGTTTTATTAACGAACCCGAAAGACTTAGTTTCACTGGTGTGAGTCTATGTGGGATTCCCCTTATACCTTTTCAATAGGCTTTCTTCCCTTCATTTGGGAGTAGATCTTCACTTGCCATTAATACCATTAAAGGTCAGTGGTCTGCCCTGCCCTTTCTATTTCAATGTTCTCTGGCTAATAATGCACTAGTTCATACTTGCATGGGTTGTGCATATTTCTTACTGTGTTTGTCTTCCACTCCAACAGTGGGATTTAAATGTTGCATTGTCATTGTTACAAAGACTCCCATTCAAACCTATTTTCAACATCTCCTTGGTGTTGCTATTCTTTAAAGTAGCCTTTTATGTGGTCATCACTTTGGCCAGAAGGGTTTCTTAAATATCAGCATAGACCAGGTTGTTTTAGACCTAGGACCTCCTTTTTAGACAAAGGGGTCTCTGTTTTGCAACTTAATGAGGTTATATTGTTCCCTGTGTCCTGCAACCTTGCACTCCAAGGAAATCTCCCCCTATTGTCTGAATGTGGCAAAGGCTGTCAGGATTTACCTTTTCGATCACCTTTTCCCAGTTTTTTTATTCCAAAATGTCCTAAAAGATGTTCTCCAGCTTCCAGATCCATTGTCTCTAAATTAATCTGACAGGCTAAATTAAGTTAGAAAATAAAGGGCCATTTTTTCTATTTAAGCTCATTCCACTAAGGCAGTAAGTGTTTCTTGCCTTTGTTTCCCAAATTTTACCTGCAACCTGGTCTTCAGCTCATTCTTTTTATAAGGCTGATGCAGACCTCATGCAGCATTCTGCGCTGTGCTCTTGCTGTCATTTTTACAGGATGACCACGCCTAGGTCGCTAAACTGTGCTAAACTTTCTCCATTTGTAGACAGTCTGTCTTACCGTGGACACATGAACATCAAGGCTTTTGGAGATACTTTTGTAACCCTTTCCAGCTTCATGCAAGTGAACAATTCTTAATCGTAGGTCTTCTGAGAGCTCTTTTCTGCGAGGCATGGTTCACATCAGGCAGTGCTTCTTGAAACCAGTAAACCCAAAACAGGTGTGTGTTTTTTTAAGGGCAGGACAGCTGTCAGCAACACATCCAATATCATCACACTGATTGGACTCAAGGTTGGCTCACTCCTGGCTCCAATTAGCTCTGGGAGAAGTCATTAAGCTAGGGCCTCACATACTTTTTCCTCCCTGCACTGTGAATGTTTACATGTTATGTGGAATTAAACCATAGCAACATCTAATGTTTGTGTAGTATTATGTTCAGCAGACTGTATTCTTTTGTTGTGACTTAGATGACGTTCAGAGCACATTTTATGCCCAATTCATGCAAAACTCCACGTAATCCCAAGGGGTTCACATACTTTTTCTTGCAAATGTACCTTGTCCAGTGGGGAAGGGGGTTTTGTGTAGGAACCAGGGAAGGCAATATATAAGCAGATTCAACTTTTGCGTTAATGTGGCAGATTGAATGTTATACTCTATATTTTTTAAACTCAACAACTTTTTGTAGATAGGCGCAAAAAAACATTTTGTTCCTTGAAGGACTCATCTGTTTTATAGATATGTTCTGATGTTATGTAAAGCAGAGCTGATTGTTCCAAGGTTTGAAAATGTTTTGTTATTCATGCTCAGCCATGTGAAAACATGTGACTGAATTTTCTTGGAGACCTACCACAGCAATTACTTAATGAGGCTTTTATAATTAATAAGGCTTCAGCTGGAAAATTGCATAATATAAGTAATGACTATAGAATTTTGTTTCTTAGGAAAACAAAATCTTTAAACAACCTGTCTGCTAATGTGTTTTCGTACATGTGCTTCCCATTGTCCTGGGCAAATATTATAAAACATTACAATTAGGTTTAATAGTGTTTGTGGCATTGATTTGTATGGTTTGCAACTGGTGACTACTCCTGTAGAAAAAAATATTTCTGTGGTTCACAAATTCTAGAATTTAACGGCCAAGAAAAAGGTCTATATTCTTATTGTCTGCCTTATGTTAAAGGTTTGGGAAGAAAGCCTGTAATGATTCCCTTTGAAACTTTTTGGGGATAGGGGGTTTCAACTATTTTGTATAGCTTTAACCTAGATATATTGATCAGGTCTATGACAGGAGACCAGTGGATCTTGCTGCAAAAACCCAGAAGGGTATAGCCCCTGACACATGCCTGCAAAAAAGGAAAGCAGATGGTATCCCAAAATTGAAGTTCTACCGGTCAAACCAATGAAAAGTTTACATATGCGCTGCATCTCCTCAATAGAGTTGGTGTGGACAGGACAGATCTTATTCATCTACAGTATAATACCTTGTTGTAAATAGAAATAGTCAGACATGATTGGATTTTGCAATAAAGGATTGTTCTTACCTCCTCTTTATGTATGCCTTTTTTTTTTTTTACGTTCAAAACCAAATTAAGCATTTGTCAGAGAAATGAAAAGCTAGATGTTGGCAATTTATTTGGGTCTTTTGCCATGTTCCTGTTAAATGCATTTGCCTGACTGTTTTCAAATAATTCATACTACTGCCTTGAAGATGAATATTAGGCAACAAAATGCTTTTAAAGGTTGGTGCTAAATATCCATTGACACATAGCCTTACTCGATAAAGAGTTTTTAAAGTGGTATTAAACCCAAAACTGAAAATTGAGTTTCATGCAGCCTATCAATCCATAAATGTGCTAGCTACATTTATTTTCTTTTTTGCTTACTGCTGCTTCTTCCTTCTCTCCACCCAGTGACACCTGCCATGCTTGGGGGAACATTTTGGGGGTCACAGAAAGGGATCAGGTGGTTGTACAGCTGCCAGATTACTTGCATTAGAAAGTCAATATGGGGAGTGCAGCCATTGGGAACATGTGTAAACCTCCTGCTGCCACCCCTGTAGTATTTAACCACTTCAATACAGGCATTTTTACCCCTTTCCTGCCCAGACCAATTTTAAGCTTTCGGCCCTCTCACAGTTTGAATGACAATTGTGCAGTCATGCAACACTATATCCAAACTAACTTATCATTTTTTTCACACAAATAGAACGTTCTTTTGGTGGTGGTAATTCACCATGAAAATTTTGGAACAAAATTTTTCTTTGTTTCTATTATAAAATTTTGCAAATACATTGTTTCTTCCTAAATTTAGGCCAAAATGTATTTTGCTACATTTGCTAAATCAGTGTGTATTATTTAGTCTGTAGGAAAGTTATAGAGTCCACAAACTATGGTATATATCTGAAAATCGATCAGTTCTGATATACTGATGGCACTGATCTCATGTCTTGATGCCCAAAAAAGTCAGGAAAGTACAAATACCTACAGATTTCCCCTTTTTGGAAAGCAGACAGTCTGCGATATTTAGTAAGAGGCATTACGAGTTTTTAAAAGTTATAATTTTTTGTCATAAATTTTGAGAAAATGAAGAAATAATAAAAAAAAAATGTTTCAGAATTATTATTTTTTTTTCACATACTGTCACCATGCAGTACAGCGTCCTCATATAACTGGTGTGGTGGTGATCAGGGACACTGACTGGTGACAATGCGAAAAAAATAAATAAATATATATATATATATATATATATATATATATATATATATATATATATATATATATATATATATATATATATATATATATTTTTTTTTTTTTTTTTTTTTTTTAAATTTAATTACTTTTGCCTTTGTTTTACTAAAAAAGAAAAAGAAAAAAAAAAGGGGCCAGAGTAATATAATGTTACCTACCATACTAACGATGCACTATTCTGGGAACACTAATCAGTATATATATTTTATTCTTACATTATGATTGTTATAGGCAAGCATTTAACTGAAGAAAATCAATTCATTCAGTGTTTTTTGTTGTGATTAGCTATGATTGGCCACAGCTAATCACATGACACATATGGACTGTGATTGGCCCAGTCTATTCATGTGATCACTGTGACCAATCACAGCTAACAACACAACTGTATACAATGGATGGCATGAAAGGAAGCCATCCATTGTGTACAATTGTCATGTGACCTGCTGTGATTGTCATATGGTACCGGCAACGGTTCGATACACAGATGTGTCCTATGGACACAGCTGGTGACAGATCTCATTGCAATGCGGCCCCGCGGACGCACGCAAGGCGGCGATTCATATGACACCCACCCGTATTGGCAAGAGTCCTGCTCGGCCGTCATTCTCCTATAGGCCGGGCGGGAGGTGGTAAAGGCAAATGTTTTAAAATGGTTACTCTGATAAACCTCATATTTTAGCACGTGGGTTGGTGTCCATTCTGTACAGTAAGTACAGTAAAACATTCTAAATTCTATCCTTCTATGGCCAACTTTAATTCGGTAATGTGAGAATTTAAATTACCATGAACTATATAGAAATGTACTGTATATACTGTATGATCTGTTAAGTCTGATTTATTACTTTACTGTTATCAGTGGAGAAAATGTGGACAATGTTGAGTTTCCTTTTATGACATTTTCTGAATGTGGGTAGGTGAATGATAATGAATGCATAACCACCCTGATACAAATACTGTTCCCACACTTTTTTCCAAACTCTAAATGACCCCTCTCAATACTGAACCTTATGGACTAAGACTGGGATGCCATTAAAGAGATATATACCGTATTTTTCGCTCCATAAGACGCACTTTTTTCCCCCAAAAAAAAAAAGGGGGGGAAATGTCAGTGCGTCTTATGGAGGGAATGTAAAGCGGCCGGTCTGGTATTTCTGACGCCACCATGTCAGAATATCGGGCCGGCCACTCAGCTCTTCTCTCCTGCAGGACCTTACCTGCTCCTTGCTCCAGCACTGCAGTCTTCCCGTGGCGGCTTCTGTGACAGCCGGTTGCCCACTGCACATGCGTGAGAAGTGCAGCGCTTTGTGAATGGTCCGGTGTCTTTTGGGACACATGGCAGGTCCCAGAAGGATCTGGTCTTCTGTACTATGTCCACAGTCTCTGGTCATTCCCTGTACTGTGTCCGCAGTCTCTGGTCATTCCCTGTACTGTGTCCGCAGTCTCTGGTCATCCCCTGTCCTGTGTCCGCAGTCTCTGGTCATCCCCTGTCCTGTGTCCGCAGTCTCTGGTCATCCCCTGTCCTGTGTCCGCAGTCTCTGGTCATCCCCTGTCCGGTGTCCGCAGTCTCTGGTCATCCCCTGTACTGTGTCCGCAGTCTCTGGTCATCCTTTGTACTGTGTCCGCAGTCTCTGGTCATCCCCTGTACTGTGTCCGCAGTCTCTGGTCATCCCCTGTCCTGTGTCCGCAGTCTCTGGTCATCCCCTGTACTGTGTCCGCAGTCTCTGGTCATCCCCTGTACTGTGTCCGCAGTCTCTGGTCATCCCCTGTACTGTGTCCGCAGTTTCTGGTCATCCCCTGTACTGTGTCCACAGTCTCTGGTCATCCCCTGTACTGTCTCTGCAGTCCATTGTTTCAGAATACTTTTTTAATTATTTTTCTCCTCTAAAACCTAGGTGCGTCTTATGGAGCGAAAAATACGGTATATCGTGACAGTGTGGCAATCTGTCACGATATAAAAAGGATATTTCACCCGGGATTCTCAACAAGGCATGTTGTGGGTCTCCAGGGTACTTGTTTGATACAGAGGAAAGTGGCTTTTCACTTTCCTCATTTGTTTGTACAGTCCATTTTGGGACCTGGAGATTTCAAAGTCATTTGGGAGGGATGAAATCTCCAATCCTGGGACCAGGTTTTGGGAATGGCCAGGAGACTGATTGGTCAGGTGTGCATGGCTCTCTTCTAGAGTCAGGACAAGGGTTCTGGGCTCCACCCCGGCAGACAGGAGGTCATTGCCCATGAGTCAGGAGGGCTCCACCTAGGAGAGGTCGGAGCCAGAGTAGCAAGGGGCTGCTAGCTGTGTGCTAAAAGCCATTTTGGAAGGAGTCTGTAGGAGACAGCTGTGAGCCTAAAGTGGAAGGCCAGAGTGGCAGAAATCTGTGTACAAGCCAGGAGGCTGATTATTTGTTTCATTTGTTTGATGGTGGATACCCCTGCGTGGGAAGCATGTTGTGGATCTTTCTTTAAAATAAAATTGGGCTAAAAGGTCTTTAAAAAAAGAATAAAGCGAGTGGCTGTGTGATGAAAAAACTCTACCATTTGATGCTAGTTCCCACAATACACACACACACACACACACACACACACACACACACACACACTATTGCCAAAAGTATTGGGACGCCTGCCTTTGCACGCACATGAACTTTAATGGCATCCAAGTTTTAGTCCGTAGGGTTCAATATTGAGTTGGCCCACCCTTTGCAGCTATAACAGCTTCAACTCTTCTGGGAAGGCTGTCCACAAGGTTTAGGAGTGTGTCTATGGGAAGGTTTGACCACTCTTCCAGAAGCGCACTTGTGAGGTCAGGCACTGATGTCGGATGAGAAGGCCTGGCTCGCAGTCTCTGCTCTAATTCATCTCAAAGGTGTTCTATTGAGTTGAGGACAGGACTCTGTGCAGGCCAGTCAAGTTCTTCCACCCCAAACTCACTCATCCATGTCTTTATGGACCTTGCTTTGTGCACTTGTGTGCAGTCATGTTAGAACAGGAAGGGGCCATCCCCAAACTGTTCCCACAAATTTTGGTGCATGAAATAGTCCAAAATGTCTTGGTATGCTGACGCCTTAGGAGTTCCCTTCACTGGAACTAAGTGGCCAAGCCCAACCCCAGAAAAACAACCCCACACCATAATCCCTGCTCCACCCAGAAATGGTTTAAAAAAAATGCTCTGTAGAGTACTGAACTGGCCAAATCTCAATCCCATAGAGCACCTGCGGAGAAATCTCAAAACAGCAGTTGGCAAAAGGAACCCTTTCAATCTAAGAGACCTGGAGCAGTTGACCAAAAGTCAGTCAGTTCCCGCTGAACCGGCTGGTTTTCACTATTTTAACATAAATTGTATTATTATTTTACCTGGAAATCCTTATATAATTGGCCCTCCATTAGCTAAGTCAATGGAAAATGAGGCCTGACTGACCCAGAGTGGGCCAGGAGCAATAAAGACCATGGTTCCATAATTTGGTATATGAATAACACTCTGTATGTGAAAGGAGAGAAATTACATTTATTAAGAGTTTACCAAAAGTAAAACTCTGAATCAACTAAGTAAAATGGTATAATTTTCTCCAGCTAATAAAAAGAATTGCTTTTACTCATTATTGTGAAAGTGGGGGAAAAAAAAAAGATGTAGTACACGTACCTTCATATGCCAAGGGATCCTTTGCTGGCGGAAGGGACAGGTGGAGTCCCTCTCCTATACCCATCTAATGATACAATGGTGGTGAAATTGATGGGAGAAGGATAGTTTGTGGTTTTTGGTCCCTCTTCCAATTCCTGTAAGCATATGCTGCAAACTGGATGCTCCTTCCTATGTTGATCATTAAGAAGGGGACTCTGGAAATATTACCACTAAGTGGAAATATTACAACTTAGGAACTCTCTATATTGATAGCCAAATACGCCTGCTCCTCTGTAATGGACAGCAAACAAGGAGAAGAATAAAAGCCCTACCTCACTCTCCCATCTTCTGTGATTTTCCTGTCCTATTGAGACAGACTCTTTATTAACTACTTACGGACCAGTGACGCACCCGTACATTGCTGGACTTCAAGCAGTTATACCGGGATGATGTCTGCAGCTGCATCATCCTGGTATCGTTCTTTAGAGGCAGCAGTCATCTCTCTTGTAAAAGCAATCAAAGCTGCTAACTACTCCCTCCTGGCCTAACTACTCCACCTGCCCTCCCCCCCACCATTCCGTGGCTGTCTTGGGCTCTCCCATCCCACCAGGAGACCCGAGCAACCAGCCGGCACATCCGCCATCTGGCTGGACAGCCAAGCAAAGTTGGGATCGGCTGTCCGCTATAGTAACCCAGAAGCGATTACCTGATATCACTTCTGGTTTGCTCGGAACTAAACTACGGCCATTCATTGAAAAAAAATTTAAAGCATTCAAAAACACTGATCTTGGTGTTTTGAATTCTTTTAAGTGCAAAGGATGGATTTGAGGTCTTAGAGAACCCCAGATCCCTCCATAAAAAGTACCTGTCACATGCCTATTGCTTGTGTTTGGATGTTTACATTCCTTGTGACAGTAGTACTGTAAAAAGTGATAAAGAAAAAAAAAATTAAAGAAACTTTGTTGAAAAAAACCCAAAACAAAAAACCTAATAATTAAAAAAACAAAAATGAAAGCGCCCCCCCCCCCCCCCCCCCCCCCGTGTTCTCACGTACAAAGGTGAATGCACGCATTGGTCCCGCATGCACACACATAGCGAACATCAAATGATGAGCAGTAATTCTAACACTAGATCTCCTCTGTAATTCTAAAGTGGTAGTCTGTAAAGGCTTTTAAAGCATCGCCTATGGATAATTTACGCTGTTTGTCGCCACTGCACAGGTGTGCGCAATTTTAAAGTGTGACATGTTTGTGTCTATTTACTTGGTGTAACATCCTCTTTTATGGGTTATGTATTGTTTTTTTTTTTTTCATTAAAAAAAGTGTATTTTTTCTCAAAAACTTATGTTTGAAAAACCTCTGCGCAAATACCGTGATATAAAAATTGCAAAATCCAGCATTTTATTCTCTAGGGCCTCTGCTTTAAAAGAAAGAAAGAAAAATAAATATATGTATATAATTTCTGGGGGCTCTAACTAATTTTCTACCAAAAAATATAGATTTTTACATGTAAACAAAAGTTTCAGAAAAAGGCCTGGAAGTCAAGTGGTTAAACAACAACTAAGGCCCCTTTCACATGGATGTTTCTGATTGGGTCCGCCTGTCTGTTTTTCAGGTGGATCCAAGCAGAACCTCCTTTCTCCTCTATGGAGCGGCGGATGTAGACAGACATGTGTCCATTTACACCCGCCGGCATTCAATCTGATCCGATCTGATAAAAACAGACAGCTGGAGATCCGTTACCCAGCAGACTAGATTGGATGGCAATAGGGTATACATGGACAAGTGGTCCATTTACATCCTACCGCCCATAGAGGAGAGCGGGCTGTGTCTATGTCCACTCTGCATAAGCCGAGCAGACATGGACCTGTCGTCAGAGATCAATGGACAGATTCACTGCTGAGCAAGCGGATCGCAGCCGGAGTCTGCCGCTTGTGAAAGGAACCTAACAGTGATAAGGAAAAGCTTTGAGGTGCCTACAGTTTTTGATCAAGAAACTTTCCATGACTTGCCCAATGGAAGTTACTGCTGAGACCAGCAAGAGTGGATCCCGTCTGTGGTGATAGGTTACTGATCGCAAATCATTTTGAATGGAGCATTAGTGAAGCTGACAAGTGCCTGTATAGCTTGCAGCACAATCCAATTGTTTCCTTAACAGTACCTTATAGCAGCCAATTAGATTTCAAAGTGTTACTAAACCTACAACAGTAAAATCAGTCTTTATATGCAGTAAAGCACACGTGTTATACTCGCTGTGAAACCTAAGGGGCTAATCCTCTGCACTGTGTAAAAATGCTGTTTGATCCTGACTTCTCTGATCCTCCCCTTCTTATAGTGTCCCCCTCTTATCGCCTGAGAAGACATATCGTGGAGATACTCTGCATATGCTCAGTTTGGTGTGTATTGCTAGAGAGGTTTTTTTTTTTTTCTTTTGGGAGAGTGCATGTGATCAGTACAGGGCCAATCTGCACTGTGCAGACAGAAGTCAGGGGTTATGCATCCTCCTAGAGCAGATAGAAAACTCCTCCTACAAGCTTTAACCAGTGCTCTGCTGGACACTGATAAAGTCACAAGACTGCTCTAACTGCTGATGAAAAAAGGTATTTAGCAGTTTATATTTACTAAAATAATTGCATTTCCATGTTCTGTGTACTGAGTGGAAGACCAGATATAGTGAATGCAGGGTCATGGGTTTAGTAACAGTTTAACTTTCTTCAATTAACTATAAGAAGAGTAATAAAAATTAATTAATTGCTATGGCTGACCTTTGTAAATTGTTCTTAACTTACTAATGAATCCTGACAGGATAACATAATATTCAGATGATGTTGGTTTGTCAGATTTTTTTAAATTCATTTTAACATTTACTGCTGACCAGTGATCTGACCTAGAACAGCAGTTCAGACACGTGGCTTTCCATGTTTCCTCACTTTCAACATTATTATTGTCTGTACCCCCGGCTGAGCTACAAACTCCGCTAATTGGCTGAAAGAGCAGAACAACAAGGGCAACGTCCAATAAATCAACACTTTGCATCAGCTTCTAGCTTCATGCTGTTCCGAACATATTGCATGGATTGGATTAGGAGCAAGTTGTCCTGATCTCTATTGATAGTTCATTTTCACCATAGCTCTCATGTCATATTTCTCAGTAGCATTCAGCTAAATACACTTGAAGCAGGCGCAGCCAAGGGTAAGAATGTTCTGCACTCAGTTTTATTTCTTGAAGATGAAT